TAAAAGAGACATGTTCTACTTTTCTTTTGCAGGGATGATAATGGTGATTTTATTGCTGCTCGTGGCTATTGTGGTCGTTGCAGTGTGGCCAACCAACTGATAGCCATAAAGGGACCACCCGCTGTGACACCTGCCAATGATGAATGAAAGCCCAGCACCCTTTTGGTACACAACACCTGCTCTCAATAAATTTCCCACCACTCCAGGCTCTTGGTGTACGTGGCTTCTGTAGAGGAGCAGAGATGAACAGCCCTGGAGACCTTTCTAGAGCTGTGTCCCTTCTCTTCTTCCAGTGGTTTTGTTGTTAGCCAGAATTCCCTCAGGTCATCACTGTCCCACAGCTGCCAGGGGATTCTAGTCATCCTCCGTGTGCTGGGCATCCTGAGGGAGATCACGTTCTTATGCAGTGTGTAAACTTTGGTGGCTGGTTGCATAGGGGCAGCCATGTGCTCTTGTGGGATTAAGGGCTGAGGTGAGGCATGAGGCCCACAGAAGGCAGAGCCACGTGGACATATGTCAAGCATGTAACAAGCACTGTGTCAGCCTGCCATGTTTAATTGCCCACGAAGCTCAGATTCCTGGTGGCGCCTGAGGATGTGAAGGCCCTAGGAGTGCTCTGAAGAGTCTCTGGACCATCCCATCTGCACACGCACCCTTTTCCATTTGCAGCAACGATAGACTCACCCTTCAATGTTGATGTCTTCCTAAAACAAACAAGATCTGGGTGTGTCAGCTCACACCTTTAATCCCAGCGTTCAGAGGCAGGTGGATCTCTGAGTTTGAGACGGATGCAGGCTTCAGGGAGAGACTGACTCAAAAAATAACAACTAAAGACATATTTGACACCTTTCTAAGTAGCCACAAAGCCTTAGAGAGTGGGGATAAGTCCGATAGAAGCATGGTTAGAGAGGGTGGCATGCCCTCTCTCCTCTCTGTAGGGAAAGCTAGATGGGCGGCTGGCCTTGCTTTTTCATGGTAGGAGGAGGAAGAGTTGGGATAATGATAGAACTCTTGCTTTAGCATTGGCTTCAGTGAGGAGGAGACAGGCTGTGGTAGGGGACTGTGGGTGGAGTGCTCCTGAACACAAAGTCTTCTCTGGATAGAGTAAGGGCACCAGGAAGAGAGCCCCGTGTTACTGAGAGTGAGGCCCTTTCCTGGGACCCTGAAACCAACAATTCCAAATGTTCTGGGAGGCCCCAGGCCTCCCAATTCACTTCAGAATAAAGGCAGAGTGGCCACCACTGGCAGAAGAAAGGGTCTCTAGGAGCTTGCAAGCCAGCAGTGAAATGGTCACTTCAAGACCCCACTGCCTGAGCTCGCAGCTCTGCCTGACCAGTATACTTATTGGGTCATAGAACAGGAAGTCATAGAAAACAGAGTAAGAAATATGCTGCAAACAGCCCCCAAGGATTGCCACACCACTTACCAGCTCTGAGACAATGGGCAGGTTCCCGGTCTATGCCAGTGGCCTCATCTAGAAAAAGGAGACTACCATGCCCTGCCTCACGGGGCTGCCATGAGGACTGGGTGAGCACGTAAGGACAGCAAGCTGCTCTGACCCTAGCGGGTCCTGTCCCCTGATTTCCACTCTACCTGGACTGGAAGAGTACGCCAGGAAGGGGCAAAGTCTTCTGCCGACTTGGCAAATGGTGCTTGAGATCCTGAGGATGTGAAGGCCCTAGGAGTAGACTTAGCAGGATGTCAGGGGTTGTGGTATGCAAATGGCTGAGCGGTCATGAAGCAGGCTGTGAAGAACGGACTGGAAGGAAAGAAGATTGGGCTCGTGTCAGGGGCATGTGACTGAGAAGAAAGGGACTGTGCTGTACTCAGGCCAAGGCTGTAGGAAGCAGTGTGCCCTAGGGCACATTTGTCAGGGTTGCTAATGGATCATCCAACGTAAGAGCAAGAATCTGCAGATCTCTATCATCCAGCCTTGTGGGAAACCCCAAATCTGTACAAACAGTGTCTCCTTGGAGCCCCTCACTTTGGTGCTCAGAGGAGGCAGCATTGATAGTCTGTTTGACTTTCTCACCTCCTCTTGACTTGCTCAGCACGAAGCCCCGGCAACTCGCAGGGCACCTTGAACCAGAGCCATGGAGGCCTGGCTCTGTTGCACTGAAAGCCCTTTTTCAGGAAGACACTGGCCCATGCCTGCACACAGTTGCTTCTGTTCTTCTGACTGAATGGGCATCGCTAGCAGCGTGACCTCAGACAAAGTTGCTTCACTTCTGGTACCCACGGGCAGGGGAGAGTGGAGGGAAAGCTGCCTGGCAGGTTACAGCATAAGGATCCTCCCGATGTCCCAGCAATGGGCATTGCAGGCAAGGATCCTCATTCCATGTCAGTCTTCCTCAAGGATGGCTTTCTCACTCCATCAGACCAGGAGTACCCAGGCACGCCCCGCTGGGTGGGGTGTACCAGAGAGTCTGATGCCTCAAACCCCAGGTAATATGGCTCCTGTAGAGTGGCATTTGCCAGCATAGTTTGCAAGGCCTGGTTTCCCAGCTCGAAAGTGTCAGACCTGCAGGCCAGTGAGCTGCAGCAAGCACTCTAGACTAAGTCTTGCACCGCTCCCAGAACACAAAGTGGCAAGGCAGCCAGAGCACCGTCTCCTCGGGGACTTTGTCAATGAAAAGAAACCTTATTAAAATAACAGCATTTGAGCTGTTTAACTTAACTGATTATTAATTATATGCATTTTAAGTCTGGATGCCACATAAAGAAATCCAGATACCTAGGCACAACCAGTACTTTTGTTCCATTTAAACTTTGTGATTATTAATAATTATGCTGAACCTTAGCTGTTATTAGCCCCAAGACAACCTCCTCACCCGATCTGCAATGCCTGGGCCTAAGTACAGCATCCAATCCACCAGGCCTTCACAGAGCTCACATGGAAACCCCTATACCCTTTTAGTCTGCTGCCTGCTGCTAGCAAGCCTGCTGGGGTTATGTACAATCTCCTTGAGTTTAGATCCTTGGAGATTTCCTACCATGGGGTGGGAGGGCTTTTGCAGAATTCCCAACTGGTCCTCAGTTTCAGGATCTGTCCATCCTGCTTGTCAGGACTGTCAGCAGCCAGCTAGATAGCTGTTCGCCCAGCTCCCTTAGGTCATTGTATTAGCAGCTTTTGTGTGGACACTGCTGAAGTTAAGCAGATATCTCCCACCTCCTACATTAGAGCTAAAACTAAACTCATATGTTCTCTTACTGTAACAGGATTTCTCAAGCTTCCTCCCAGCTATGTGCCAACAACTAAAGGCCCTGACCTCCTTCCAGAATGCCTTGCTGTCCCGCCAAGCCTCCAAGTTGATAAAGCAAGGAGTTAAGCCATCCACGTTCGGTATTTCTCCCTGGCTGCTGTTCTTGCACTCAAATTTTTCTTGGCAGAGTTCTTACGTGTCTTTATTTAGTCTGAGACCACAGGGTGTGTCTATCCTGGGTGGGCATCCCCATTCAAGGCACTGTCCCTGGGAGATGCAGAGATGGGATGGGTGAGCCTCAGCTATTCATGGCCCCTCCCTTCCCTGGTAGGCTTCTGGTCCTGATGAAGTCTGCTCAGCCCTTGGGGGCTTCCTTCCAGCTTCCTCCGCTTTTCCCATCACCTTGGGCCAGTGCTTAGCAGAGACCCTGCTTGTATTCTGTTTTCTTAGCACTGGACTGATATCAACACCTCATCTCCCCAGCCAGCCAGGTGGAAGGCCCTAGGAGGCAAGCGAGCTGTTCAGTCCATTTTCATGCCTCTCTGATCAACAGTGTGTTTCCTGCCAGCAGAGAGCCCAGCTGTGAGGGGGTCAGCACACACTCAGACACAGACAGCTTTGTGGATAGAGGAAAAAAAAAAAAAAAAAAAAAAGCTGTATCATAAAAAGTCCTTGAGAACTGAACTCTTGGCTTAAAATGACCAAACTGTCAAGTGATCACAGAACCCTTAGCCCCCAGCCCTGGGGGCTAAGCCTGATACAGCAGATGAGGCTTGCTCTAGGAACTGCTTTCTGTCCCAAACTGCCCACCACCAGGCAATGGCATTCAACAAGGACCCACTTCTGAGACGGACACTAATAGGTGTGTCCCTGCCTGCCCTGACTTGGAGCCCTGCTCCTCAGAGCTAGCTCAGTGGAGGTTAACCCAGCAGTGTCAGCCTCAAGTGCTTGCCTGCTCTACATCAGGGGAAGGCTTTTATGCCCTGAAAGCAAAGGCAACCAAAAGTCCACATTGCTGAGGGGCTGGACCAGACCAGCAGGTGAGTCCTGTCTTCAAAAACCACTGGGTGTAGAAGGGTCAGGTCTGAGGGCCATGACAACACATCCTCCCAGGAGCTGGCTGGTTGTTCAGTAAAGAAATCACAACCATTTGGAAGTTTAAACATAGCCTCTCCAAAACCACTGAGCTCAGCTCCTGGTGGCTGCGTGGTGCTGGCACAGACCCAAACCCTGCTCGGCACTAAGCCTCGGCAACAGGCAGGGGGAAAGTCTTTTTTGCACGATCTCTTGAGTTTCAACAGCCTCCTGGATTTTCTCATCTTCATCTTGAATAGAAGAAAGAGGTAGTATAAAAGTCCAAACAGGCTTGCAGGCTCTGAATCTGGAGGGGAGGTCAAAGGTTACCGTATCCAGTGCTGCTGGTGAGGGTAGGGCGAGTCAGGAGAAGTCTCCTTTCCCCTATCTAGACCCCTGTCTGGAAGCTCCAGAGAATGGGAAGGACCTGCCCCAGTGGTGACTTGGGGATTGCAATACAGACTGCCCCATTTGAGAGCCTGTTAGCTCAAAACAGCAGTCAGGGCCAGCAAGCCCCCAGGATTTTCTAAGCAAGGCTATACTTTTCCCGTCTTTTTTGGGTAGTTAAGGCTCTTTGTTTAAAACACACACAAGATTCTGTCTTGCTAGGGTGTTCTAGGGCAAGACACCATATTCCTTAAGTTGCTGGAAATCTTTACCCTTCTACCTCCCCACATGCCACCACCATAGCTCAGGCCACCAAAGAAAGAGTAGGACAAAGAACAGTATACAAGAGTTTATTTAATGATATCTGAATTTAGTTCTATCATGTAGGTCCCACGTTACAAGTTCCATCTGGGTCCATTACAACTCTAACAACAACAACACACAAAAAAAAAAAAATCCCTTAAAAAAAAAAAAAAGAAAATCCACAACTTTCTCCATGTCATTAAATATATTCATATATAATAACCATAATATATTAGTATGCATTGGAAAGGAACACTGACCCAAACAATATGTCATGGTCACAACTAAACATTTACAATTCTGAGTGAGCAGAATCGGTACAAGAGGGAGGCCGGGGGTATCCAGAGCAGGAAGGGGAGGGTGTCCACTGACACAGAGGTGAGGCTGGCTTAGTTTTTGGCAGGGGCAAGGCCCCACAAAGACAATTTTGATACCCCTGGGGTATGGCATGGCTCTGGTCCACAGGGTTGTCTGTCTGTGAACCATGGCCCATCAGTGAGCCGAACTTGCCCACTCTCTAGGCTTCCTGGATGAAGGAGTCCTTGAAGTGTCAAGATGTTACAGGAACTGCTTCCCAAGTCAGTCCCAAAGGGTCTCTTTTTTTCACTCTTGTTCCAGTTTGGGGCAATTCTAAGACAGCCTGTACTCATTGCCTGTATGTAGTTACTGACACAGGGTTCTAGAAAGTTCCTAAGGTCCTCGGGCCACTCCAGCCTCCCAGGGCTTTGCCTCAGGCATCAGACCCTCTCATCTGAAGGAGCCCAATGGTCCTGCCTCCTGCCCTGCTTTCCAGGACAGAAGGTCTGGCCCAGAGGCCACAGGAGTGTCCAGGAGCACACCATTTCCTTTACCCCACACCACTGTGTGACTGTGTGTCAGCGAAGGAGGCATCCTGATGGCAGGGGCACCAGACTACCCAGCTGGTAAGTAAAAAGACAGCTAGGGCATCTTGACTGGTAAGTGACTAGCCTGATACGGCTTTCTTCTTCAAAGACCTACATATCACAACTCTGTTAATACACTCTCAAACTCAAAGACCTACTTCCTCTTTTGCATCCCTTCCTAACTGTACAATAGGATGTCTCCTTTCCATCTCCTCTCTAGCATGAGGCCAAGGGCAGGAGGAAGACAGACAGCTGCTGCTTCCCCAAGGCTGGCTCTCAGGCAGAGGAGTAGTGGGATGATTTCAGGCTAGCTACAGAGGTGGCAGCTATGATCTCATCCATAACCTGGCTCATCTGACCAGGCAATCAGGGCTGGAGAAGAGCAGGGTGCCTTGGTGGATTCCCAGCAAGATGTCTTGTTGCTTAGCTGGCCCCCAGCACTAGTTAAGGGGCTTCAGTGGACACCAGGTGCGGCTATGACTTAAAGGCTCATAGGTCAAAGCTGGCTAGGGCAGACGCTACCCTGGTATAGAAACAGGACAGTTGCCGTTTGCTGCAGATGGTACCCCACAAACCACAGTGGCTGTCTGAGCCTGGACAGTGGCCCTTGACCCCCAATCTCAGGCTTGGACAAGGAAAGTCACATGACCCTTCCCAGGGCAGGTCTGTGTGCTCCCTGCCAGCCTCTCTGAAGCCTTACAGCCTTCCTTCCCTCCCACACTTGGAGCCGACAAGCCACCATTCCAGGCCCTCTCAGACGGCTAACACCTGCGCTCCCCAACCCTGGGACTTCCGGGGGCTGTCTTCTAGGGAAACCATTTCTTGTTCCCCCACCACCCTTGATGCCTGCTCTGGAGGTATTACTTTGTCTATCTTAGACCTACTCCAGGCTAATATCCTCAACATTCTCTAGAGACAAGCTGCCTGGGTCTCAGTGAAACCCCCCACCACAGTGGGCTAACAGCTGGGATGGTGAGGCCAGGGTCTGAGTCCCGAAGCTGGTGCAACCTCGGGCATGTGCACACATTTCTTCACTGGTGAAAGTGAGGACAAGAACCCCTGTCTCAAGTGTTTGTGATGAAGACAGGCCAGGAACATGTGTGTAAAGTGCCTGGCACCAAGCGGGTGCTCAGCAAATGGCAGTGGTGGCATGGGCAGGAGTGGGAGATGCAGAGGGAGTTGTGTCACCAAGGGGCTGAGCTTCATTCCTGGTATGGTCCTTTGGGGCAGCCAAATGGGCAGGGGAAATGAAACCAATTTCCTGACTGAGAGGGAAGCCAGGCCTCTCATCCAGTGTGCGGGGCGTGAGGCTGGAGGCCCAAGTGCAGGGATGCAGGGAAAGGCAGAGTTGGGGGGGCTGTGAAGAAGCAACCAGAAGAGAAGCTTGGAGCTATCTGCATGAGGGCGGTAAGGCTCCAAAACAAGAGAGGGCTAGGCACACAGGAAGACCCGGAGACTGCCACAAAGGCAGCCAGAAAGGAATGGATGAGATCGCCCAGGCTAGACCAAGACAGCTGTGGGCTACAGTGGGCTTCTTAGCCCAGTAGCCTGTTCCCTTTGGGAGACAGCAGTGAGGGCAGCAACAGTAAGTGGTCACAGCTTCCGTGGCTCTCTGCCACCTGACCTCTCCTGGCCTTGCTTACCTACAGCTTGGACACTCAGGCACCTTGCTAAGCAAAAACCCCTGGTCCTGACTTAAGCAAGTCCCTTCCTTTCCCCAACCCTGGGGCCAAATGGCCTCTAAGGCCGCTGGCATTCCAGGCCTGACCAGGCCCTTTCCAGCTGTTGACATTGCTGTGAGGCCTTGTGGGAGTTGATGTCATTACACAAATAGTGTCATTGCCCTAAACCCCGCCAGTACCCCCTCCCCCTCCCCTGGAAAATGTCATAAAAGGGGTTGTTTCCAAGTTTCCAAAAAGGAAACTCTCTGGGAGGTTTTGGTTTTCAATGCCTCCTCCCACAGGCAGCTCCAGCAAAGGCAGTGACCACCCGGCTTGGGCTTCAGGGGCATCCTTAGGCCCTAGGCCCTCTGATGGGCCAGGAGCCTGGGCCAGCCCCACTTGGGTAGAGTAGGTCCCAGGAGGGGCCTCCCCTCAGAGACCAGAACTCCACTCAGAGACCAGCCCAGCAGGTGGCAGTGGAGACCTGAAGCTGGCTGATCCCAGTGCCATCTGGCCCTTTGACACAGGGACCTGTTGTGGAAGTCTGAAGTCTGGGAATTCTTAGACAGCAGGTGATGGGGAAGGGAAGGGGGCATGACTAGTGCCTTGTGGTGGACTGGTTGCCCCTGCCCAGGCTACAGGCCCGAAAATTCACAGTTCTTCTCACACCCCCTTCAAAAACCATCAAACACAGTGACTGTGGTCCTCTGTGCCTTTCTGTGCCTGGGACCCAGAGCTGGGTGCCCCCAGCCCCTCTACAGCAACCCCCACCTAGCCCTAGGGAAGCGCATCTTTGTTCTGGAAGGAGCGCTGTGAGGTAGCTATGTCTTGTCCTCATTTCTCCAGGGCCTGGCCTGTCAATACAGGGTACTTCCTGCCATGCGCATAAGGGCACAGCCAGGGGTGTGAGGGTGGGGCTGGGGCGGAGCCGCTGAGGGCCCCGCCCCACTCAGACTTCACCCCGCCCCCACCCGCCCCCCTCCCCGGGGAAAACCCTGGCGGGCCAAGTCCAAGGCTGCCGGCCCCTGCCAGCGCCCTGCCCGCCCTCCTAGAGCCTGCGCCACCTCCGCGCTAGGCCTTCTTGCACTTGCCCTTCTTCTCCCGCTGCTGGAACTTGCGCAGCCGCCGTGCCCACGTGTCCCGCCACTGGATCACCAGGCTGCTCTTGTCTGCCACGATGCCACTCTGGTCAGGCGAGTCCTCAGCATTGCCCAGCAGCAGGTATTTCTTGAGGGGCTTGATTTTGGGGCACTTGCAGGCGATGTCTCGTGAGCGGACCCACAAGCTCTGGTCACCACGGCGAATGCGACTTGTTCCTTGCTTGTACACAGAGATGATGTTCACCGTGAACTTCCACCAGTCCCCTGCTTTGTCCGCCTTCAGGATGTGGATCTGGACGGCTACAAGGAAGCAAGCAGGGGTGTGAGCCATGGCTGGGAAGAGCAGCCAGGTGCCCAGGTCCCAGGATGGGATGGGCCCTACCTGCACCATGCCTTAAAAGAACCTGGAGAAAGGAGTGGCATCTGGCAAGTGACTGCAGAGGGTTCCCCACCTGGCAGTGGGTTAGCTGTAGCAAAGCGGATCCCGGAACCCCACCTGCCACTACTCCAAGAAGTGTTGCTCCTACCTTTGCTGAAGGTGACACCTAAGACCGCCCCTTGGGACAAGTGCCATCTTGTGAGATGTTGGGGTCCACAAAGGAGACTCTGGGGGAGTGGGGCTAGATGAATTAAGCATGCCCCTGGCTCTCTGGCTAAGATCCTGTCCCTGAGGACAGGTGGCCTCAGTGGCAGCAGTGCTGACCCCTCCCATGCCTATACCTCTAAATGCCCCTGTCACTTCACCCCAAGCTTTAGGATGCACCCACATACCTCCCCCTTACTTCAACACAACTGAAAGAGTCCATCGTGGGACCTCAGTGACCGGCAGCAAAAGACCCTGCCAGGTGGCCAGAGTCCTTAAACCCTCCTCCCCAGGCTGCTCATCTCCCTTGGAGCCTCTCAGGCTCAGCACTACTCCCACAAATCTGCTAAAGGGTTCTCAAAGCAGAGTATGCCAGACTGCCCTGGAGAGCTTCTGAAAACACTGTGGGCTCTGCCCCTGGGCTTCTGATTGAGCAGAACTGGGTGAAGCCCAGAGACCTCCGTTGCACATATGCTCCCCAGGACTGCCGAGGCTACTGGTCCCTAAGACAGAAGATAAATGTCTAGTGTGCGAGGAGATGCTGCTAGAGAACAGTAGTACAGGACCTTTTAAAGCAGAAGGGAATGTTGACGAGGAAGAGGCTGGGAGGCAGCTCACTTAGTGAAGTATTTGCCAGACAAGCAGTGGGGACATGAGCTCAGAACTCAAGGGACAAAGCACCAGCACCCCTACAATTCCAGTGCTGGGAAGGGCAGCGGGTGTGTGTGTGGGGTGTGTGGGTGTGTGTGAAGGCAGGTGGGTCCTTGGGGCCTGGCCTGTTTCAGGTTGAGCTAGAGGCTCTCAAAAGGTGGAGAACAAAGAAGGAAGACGCCCAAACCTAACTCCTGACCTACACACATGCACATACACACATGCACATACACATACAAGAAAGGAGGAGGACCTTCATTCAAATAAGTTGGTACAGCACCAGGTTCCATTCAAGAATTTCCTTGGTACAGGGCTTTGGGGAGCCTGTAAGTGATGGGTCATGTGTATGCCTTGGCTTCCCAAATGTTGCTGGCTGCAGGACCCTTTGGGTGGCCCATCTTAGAGGCTACTTGGAGATTGCTAGAGAAAGAGGGACACACAGCCATTCTCCCTCTGCAGTCCAGGACATTCCTCAGCCTCATTCACCAGAAGCAGCCATCTTTTCCATCCCATAGTTAGGACCTCTTTCCTGTGCTCACCCTGTATGCCACACCCTGTACACATCATCCCACATGGCAGGGAAAGGTTACTCCCTGAGCTACAGTGAAGATTACCCTACCACTGAATGCACTGAGCCCTTTCATGGCTCTAGGGAACCCCCAGCTCGTCACCTCCTCCTGGGTCCCTCCCTGTGGTCACACTGGCTGGCCAAGGCACTAGGGCAGGGGAAGCAGACAGGTGAGGTCACAGGAGCACTGGGTTCTCCAGCCCACCCTCCTGGGGTGAGGGGAGACTGAATTTTCCCATATTTTCATTTCAGCTGTTCCTGGGCATCCTGAACTTTGCACTTCAGTCTGAGGGCTCCAAAGAATGGCTGCCATGGCAACCGTTTCCATGTTTTTGTCACCAAGGGACTCAACACTCGGTGTGAACTCTGAGGGTGGGGGTGGGGAAGCCCTCCAACCTAGTGAAGTGACTCTGCACACAGAGGTCACCCTGGCAACTGAGTGCCCCCTCAGCTAAGGGATTGGAGAGTTACCGCCAGAGCCCTGATTTCCTTTCCCGGGACTGTGCAGAATACAGAATGAGCCTCTCTGGGGACACAGCAGTTTCCCTGTGTGGCAACCCTCAGCCAGCCAGTGTTGTCCAGTCAGACGTGGACTGTATGTGTGGAGGTCCCTCTGGTTGGATCCTTGGGGATGCAGCTAATCTCAGACTCAGAGCACTGATGCCCCAAGTCCCTCTCCTGGAGCTCTCACACCCTGTATTTCCAAAGATGACTGGATCTAGAGACAGGACCTTTCTGGGGTAGTTATAATGAGGTCATGAGGGTGGCCCCATTCTAGTAACCAGTGCCCTTAAGGGATTACAGCACACAGAGGGTCTTGGGCCTCAGGCTGAGAAACAGGCTTGGAAGCTTTACAGAAGAGAGTCCAAGATAAGGGCTGGCTGGACAAGGTCTGGCCTTGGATTAGGTCCGCACATTCCCCAAGATGAGCATCTCTGATAACCTCAAGACCTCTCTCACGGAGTGAATTATTCTGGAAAGGCAGGCAGCTCCTACCTCCACTCCTTAGAAACAACTCACACAGACCTCAAGAGGACCTGTTTCATCTGAGCCCCAAAGGTCCTCACTGCACAATGCTGTGTTCAAGAAAGAAGAGGCTGAAGAAATGACATTTGTGAGCCAGCAGATCTAGCTTCTTTTGTGGTGGGGACCTTCCTAGCTGCAGACTGAGACAGCATAGGCCCAGAGGCAGGGGAGGGTGGCAGTAGGATCCATGTGATTACGCTGGAAGAAATCCACGTTTCCGCTGCCCTTGGCAATGCCTCCGAACATTACAAAGCCCACCAAGTATGAGCTGCACATGCAGTACATGGGCCAAGTCCCCACAGTGCACATACCACTGAAAAGATTCAAAATACACACTGCAACAGCGACCTCAAACAGACCTGCTGCTCTGTGCGCTTAGGGAGCATGAGCTCTGGCAGCTGCATGGCACACAGCAGGGCTGCTGCCTCTGATCAGGAATAACTGAGGTCTCCAGACTGCACCTAGATATGTGTATCTGATAGCTTGTGACCAGGTGGCTGAGCACAGTTCAGCAGCAGCTCTACCGGTCTTGGGGCCACACAGGGCTCTTAACACCCCTGCTCTGATCTTCATATTGGTGACCCTCCCAGATGTCAGTATTAGGAGTGTGTGTGTGGGGGGGAGGCTCAAAAGACAGCAGTATGTGGGCTCCACCCTCATGAGCAGATGGGTACCCCTCTCAGAGGCTTAAGAGCCCTTTCCCCAGCTGGGCTCCTTGGGGGAGGAACCAGCCACAGGATGCAACAGAGAAAAATCTAATCTCTAAGGAGGCATTTAGAGAAAGTCTAATGGGGGGTGGTGGTGGTGTAGGTTTGGGGGGGGCTGCCTAAAACCTAGACAAGCCCTCTTCTACAGCAGCCCAGAACTTAGCACCTTGTAGCCAGGTGAGGCAGCCTCCCAGTTCACAGAAAGGACTTCCATGCTATGCTAAGCATGTTTCTCAGCCACCAGGGCGGGGTAAGCCATAAAGCCCACCATCCCTTACCTGAGTTAAGCCTACAGCTCCAGCTAGCAGGGGCACCTGTTTGGTACCTTGGCAGAGCCCAGCTGTGGCTTGGGATGAGAAGGCCTCTGAGGGCCAGGCCTATGGTAGTCAGACTTGGCATAAAGTCCCCCGTGCTTCTCCTGGTGTAGGGACTGGGTGGGAGGCCACACAGGAGAAAAGAATGTCTAAGGGTCAGGCCCAGGCCAGCCAGGGTGCCTTGGAGTCATATGTCTCTTGGGCACAGAGTACAGAATCCAGCCGGCTGCCTACACATATCCCTAGCTGCAGTACCAGGCTTGTCCTACCATGGAAGTGAGGGAGCAGCCATCCTTCTCAAAGGCCTCGACTTCCACTAAGGTCTACTGTCCGGGAAATTCCCAGGCCATTCAAGGCACCATGAAGCATGGGGAGCCCTAGCCATCCTCTGAGCTCCATAGGGAAACTGGCTGTTCTCTTCCTAGAACCAGTTCACTCAAAACCCACCTCCCTTCCTGCCCCACTCCAGCTCTGGACCAGGGCCATGAGGGCCTGCAAGGAGTTCTAGGCCTTCCAAGGCCTAGGCATTGGCAGGAGAGAACAAGAGTTCATGGCCCCACACAGGTCAAAGGTCCCCACCTAGGCTGGGTTCTAGGAAAGTGGTCTGGCCTAAGACAAGGCAGACACCTCTGTTGGCTAATTCATGGCTGGCTGAGAGCCCACAGAGAGGAAGGCCCAGCATACCAGAAGCCACCTGCTGGGCCAGAGACTCAGTAGGCAACAACTGTTTCCCTAGGCTACTCCTCCTCTCTCCAGCACTTCTGTGGGGGAAGCTCTTGCCTTCCAGAGCTTTCCAGGATTTATAGGCTGCTCAGAGTGGGCCCTAGGGGCCACCCACAGCTGCCCCTCCTAAGGGCTGCCCCTTGCTTCCCCTCACCTCCCTACCTACCTATACTTTCCTGTTGGGCAAAGGAAGGGTTGTCACCCGCCTCTGCCTCAGAGACTGCAGCCAGGAAAGATGGGGGAGGACACCTATCCCACAGAAACCATTAAAACCAAAAGCCCTGTAAATCTCCAGGTGGGAAGAACATGCCTGAGCCTCTGCTTGCTTCCATGAAATGCAGCCTTGTCTGCACTTCCAGGCCAGTGGCGAGCCCTGCTCCCAGGCTTCTGTATGGAGAGAGTGGCTCCTGTGGAGAATGCAGTCTGGGGCTGACACACATCCTGAGACTAGTAGTGGTCCTGCCTACTGCTCATCAGTAAGGTGGGGATGCACCCTGATGAGACGCAGCAGCCAGCCACACAGCCTTGAAATCCTGGCTGCTGCCTCCTGCTACTCCATTCTTGAGAGGGGCGAGACCATCTCCTGGAGTAAGCATCTGAGAACCATCTTAGAGGAAGGCATTAGCCCTGGCCCTGAGCAACAGGTAGCCTAACTGGCTCAACCCACTGTGTTAATGACCTTTATGTTACTGTGGCAAAACAGCTATGCAATCAACTTGGAGGAGACA